CACAGTTTCCTATTTTTGGAGTGAGCTGTTTGTACACCAGCCTTGTGAGCTGTTTGTACACGAATGTGTGCTCTGACCAGGAGTCTAGAGTACTGGAGATGCATGCACTTAGGAAATCTCACCTTTCCTAGGTGCTCCATAAGTACTGCTCTTGTGCGGTCAGGGTTCTCTTCCCTGGGGTGTTCGAGATTTATTTCCCGTTAGAGGGCTATCTCGCTTGTGATGGTCTTCGCCCTTGGGGTGCGTCGGGGGCTTTAGGTTTTCCGTCTTGCCCTAGGTAGGGAAGTGTTGTTGGCTGGTGAGGTGCACTGTGGCTGTCAGCTCATCAGCTAGCGACGCCATGCCGATGCTTCTCCCTGACTGCTTGTTTGCTGTTGTGAGGTCTTGGGAAGGGAGGGGGCTTAGTTTCATTTTTTCATTTGCTAGTGGTTTGTTTGCTTCTCTTGGTGGGGAAGTTCTGCCTATCTCCATATTAGTCTAGCCTAGGGTGTATGTGGTGGAATTCCTCTGTTGTCCCTGGGGACTTCTCATGGTTTGGGTGCCTGCACTGACAGGGTTTACCGGCATAACTGGTAAAAGTCAGGCTAAAAGTGTTGTTGACACTGTTCAGCAGTGATACAGTACACACAAATGCGAGATGAAACAGAGAAAGCAGTGGTAGGATTGCTGATCCAGAAGAATGGCTGCCATAAAAGTTCTAATTCAAAACTAGTGTTCCTCCATGCAACCCTGGACTTGCAGCATCTCAGCCTAAACTCCAACCTCCTCCCTTAATTAACACCACCATACTCATCAAAACACTATTTTATGAATGTATGTGAAGGAACACCTAATCTTTTGGTAAATAACCTTGTACTATACCTGTTCAATATCATTCTTTGATATTCTATACAATATTATTGTTTCATGTACAATACAATATTATTTGTGTAATTGTACAACATTGTGATGTCTTTAGTTTGTAGTATTTTCTATACCTGTATTATAATGTTTTAATACATAAAATTATTTTTTTTGAGGAGGGCACAACTGACAATTCAGACAAATCAGGTTTTCTGGGGGGAGCCCCTACGGCTTCCCGGAGCTATCCATGGCTGATATGGATATCCCAATTATTTTCCATCAGTCGATGTGGGTGGAGTTCTAGCCTACTGGGACCCACGAGCCAGAACCTGTCCCCCTCACAGAGGCACGGGGAGCAATGGCCCATAGAAATGCACATGTGATTTGGAGCATTCTATATCTGCCATCGACTGGGATAGGCACCCAGAAAGGTAAGCGCCACAAAACAAACCCCTATTCTGGTTAACAACGAAAATCGTCAAACGTTTGGACAGAACTCTCCAAAAGAAAAAGAGCAAACAAACACGATGTCACATGAGCCGCGCAGCATGTCTGCGCAGCTCCCCCCTTCCTCGGGAGGGGGAAGATTGAGCCCCAGACCCTCGAGCCAGCGATCCCCGCCCCAATTCCTCGGCTGATGGGATCATGCATAGTCGTGTGGCTCCAGCTCCAGTCTTCTCTCAGTGCTGTTCCTTGTTTTTTAGTGCTGCTCTTACGGTGGTTGTGTGAGCTGCGAGTATTATTCTCAGGTACTCGGGCTGCATGTGCTTAGGGTCCCCTTCTCCGAGTGCCCTGTAAGTACCGTCTTTGTGGTTTGGGGTTCTCTTCCACAAGTCGCCTTGGGTCTACCTCTGTTGGCCTTTCGCTGCTTGGAGTTGGGCTGCCCCGAGTGCTTGGGGGGTTTTCCTCCCTTGTTTGCCTTGGGGTAAGTGGTAGTTATTGCATTGGTGGGGCGCAAGGTACTGGGTAACTAGTTTTCACCTATAACAGTGGCCAGCTCTGTTCCCTGTGGGTACGTTGTCCACTTGCGTGGTTTTTCTTTTCTTTTTGTTTTTGCCTGGTTGTGGTGGGGGGGGTCTGCCTTGTGTTCTCCCACCCTCCTTATATTAGGGCCGTTTTGTGTGGTAGCACCCCCTGCTTCACCCTCGTGAGTGAACACATCCCGTGGGTTCAGTTTTTAGCAGTTTGCTTGGTAGTTTGGGGTGCAAGTTAGCATTGCCCTGCCTGGGATAACCCTTAGCAGACCCAGTCTAGGGGCCCTGGAAATCCCAGCGGGGGGCTCTCGGGTCCGATGGAGAAGACCCTTGCGTCCCCTCTCGCTTTGTGCTAGTTTGAGGGTTGCTCTGTCCCCTTGTCTTAGGGTGACACTCATTGTTTTTTCCTCCGTCATGCTGCTTGTTGGGTTGGTGACACATTCGATCCTGAATCCTGCAAGCTGTGTTGCTTGTTCGTGACTCAATTCACCCAGCCTGATGATGATTTGCTTCGGGTGCAAGCGGCTCGCACGTTACAGGGTAGGTTTAGGTTGTTGCAATGCGCTCGGGTTGTCACTTCCCCTGACACCCCGAGGTGTCTTGTGAGACTGGGGCTTCGGAGGATGACTCTGCCCCGGGGCCTGGTGTGGAGGTTCCCGGGGTTGGGCAGGAGCTGACTTGGGGGCCTTGGGCTCCATTGGACCCCGCCTGGATTTTCCGTCCTTCTGAGCGGGGCTTACTGTTGCAAGGAGTGGGGTTTTCTTTTCCCCCCTCTGCGTACGATTTGGACTTGGGTTCTGCTCCTCCCCGGGTTTGGTTCCGTGTCCCTGTGGACTCTTCAGTTCCGTCTTTCCGGAGATTTTTGGCTTCCCGCATCTCTCCGCCTGAGGTGCGGTTGGCTATCGCGGCTTACCTCCTGCGTGACCCGAAGTACGCTTCATAATAGATCCTTCTTCGTTCAGGTTTGGATCATCGTGTCTTTACTGGGTGCATTATGAGGTTCCGGAGTCGCCCTGGCTTGCAGACTGCCCCTTGTTTTTGTTGGATGCTTGGGACTCATTCTGTCGGACCCGCACGTTCGTGTGGAGCGAGGCGGTGACGGTGGTCCAGGTTTACCTGGGAGGCAATTTTGAGTATCTTAATGAGTGTCTCTTCGCTCCTGCCCTTTTGAGGGATGTTGGTGCGGTACAGCTCCATGTGCAAGTTCCTTCCCTGTCGGCTGCACTTGTGTCTGAGGACTTGTGCGCTCGTGGGTTTTTGGCTTCAGTCTTGCGTTTCTTTTCCCTCCTGGAGATGTCTTCGGATTGGCTTGCGGAGGATGTGGAGAGGCTTGGGGCCATTCCTGGGTCTGGCGCCTTGGTTTCGGCTGCTCGGGCTTCACCTGCCATGTTGAAGCTGTTTGCGCCGATCCTGCGGGAGGCGTTGCTGCAGTTTTTTGCTGCGTGTTTCGCGTGTCAACAGGTGTTCCTTGCTTCCTCTTTGGAATCCGCTTGGGCTCCTGCCCTGATGGGGCAGGTTGTTTTGTCCTCTGCTTCTTGAGGCTTCTGCGGTTGAGCGTTATATTCAGGCGGCTTCTTCCACCTGCCACCCTATGTCTGAGTTGTTGGTGCTCCAGGGGAACTGAGGGGTTCCTTCCCGGCGGGGTCGTGCCAGGGCTCGCGGTTCCGTTCGTCAGGGTAGGCCACAGGTGTCGGGTTCGGCGCCTGTGCCGCCTTTGGACCCACCTGTGCCTGGTTGGCGCGGTGTTCGCTCTGCGCCAAGGTCGGGTTCTCGTAAGGGGCAGCAGCCCTTTTGCGGTTCATCCTATTGACGGGGTGGTGGGAGGGGCTTGCTTTGTTCGCTCGCGCCTGGTCTCACGATTTGTGGGCATTTCGGGTCGGGGCTGATGGGGTAGGCTTCCTCTCCTGCGCTCTGTTGGGTCATCTTCGAGTGGGTGCGCTTGGGCGTAGTCGAAACAATGACATCCCAGAGGTGGGTTTCCCGCCTGTTTCTAGTTCCAAAACGGGATTGTGCGGACCTGCGGTTCATTCTGGACTTGTCCCGTCTGAACCCTTGGGTTTCTTACCCCTCATTTCGGATGACCACTCTGTCTCAGGTCCGGCTTCTGTTAGAGCCGGGCGCTTGGATGGTGTCCCTGGACCTCAAGAACATGTATTGGCACATCCCTATTCATCTGGGGTTGCGGGACTGGCTCAGTTTTGTTGTGGGGTGTCAGTGCTACCGCTTTGGTTATCTCCCTTTCGGGTTGAATCTGGCACCTTGCATGTTCACACGCCTTACCCGGGTCATGGTGGCCCGTCTGCGTCTGTTAGGTGTTCGGGTGTTGGCTTACCTCCACGACTGGCTGGTTTGGGCTCCCAGTCGGTCCACGTGTCTGCTCGTCAGGGACTTGGTGATTTCCCAGCTCGGGTTCGGGTTCTTGGTGAACTGGCGGAAGTCCCGTCTGGTTCTCTCCCAGGTTCGGACCTGGCTGGGTCTTGTGTGGGACTCTTGGACCACTGCCTTGTCTCTTCCTCCGGCGTCTCTTCCTCCGGCGTCTCTTCCTCCGGCGTCTCTTCCTCCAGCGTCTCTCCTTTGGCTGCGGTCTCGCCTGTGCCTGTTTCTGGGAGGCTCCCGGGTCACCCGGCGGTTGGTCGAGGGTTTGTGTGGGAGCCTGTGTGGGAGCCTGAACTTCGCAATGTTGGTCTACCCGCCAGGTCTGGTTTGGCTTCATTGGCTGTTCTAGTTCCTTCCGGGACGTCCCTTCTGCCTCTCTCACTATTGCTGGGTTCGCCCCCATGGGCTTAGTGTCGGCTGCTGTGTTGCCAGCTTCTACTTCGGGTTTTTCGGGGTTCGGTGCCTTGGCACCTTCCCGAGCCCTCGCTCAGTGTGTTCATGGATGCGTCGTCTCTCGGCTGGGGTTTTGTGACCAGTGCTCACCAGGCCGGCCAGGGGCAGTGGGGTCTGTCCTTCCGTCGGGTCCACAACACGGTGCAGGAGTTCGCAGCGATGTGGTTTGCGCTTTGGAGGGTTCGGGTCGCCCACAGATTGACGATCCGGCTCCATTCGGACTGCTCCCTGTTGGTACATTGCTTGAACTGAGGGGGTTCGATGCTGTCCTTGGCTCTTTGGGGTTGGTCGCTTCGGGTGACTCCTCTGCTGAGTTCTCGGGGTTTGGCTCTCCTGGCGGTTCATATCCGGGGGATGTCCAACGTCCTGGTGGATGGCTTGTCCAAGTTTGTTCCCCTGTCCACGGAATGGACGGTCAACGCCAACTCCTTCAGCTGGCTCAGTCGGACGTTTGGACACCCGTAAGTGGACCTCTTCGCGTCGGCGTGGTCGAGGCGTCTTTCGGTTTACATGACGCCCTTCCCCGACTGCGAGGCTGTCGGGAGCAATGCCTTTCAGCAGAACTGTTCAAGGTGGGGGTTCCTATACCTCTTTTCCCCGGTTCAGTTGTTGCTCCAGGTCCTGGCTCGCTTGGAGACTTACCAGGGGCGAGTAGTCCTCTTGGCCCCATGGTGGCCGGCCCAGCCGTGGTTTCAGGCGCTGCTTGCCCGGTGTCCGAACCCGGAGGTTTTTCCACGGCTCCGCCTCTTTCAGGAGATTGGCCCGGTCCGGTACAAGACTGGTTTGCTCTTCTCCGCGAGTCTTCGCGTTTGGTGTTTTTGACTCGTGTTTATCACCACCTCTATTGTGATCAGGTGGCTTCCTTGTTGGTTCCCACCTGCGGGCTTCCTCTCGGTGGCAGTATGAAGTTTCCTGGCTGTCCTTCAGGTTCTTTTTGTTCCTTCATCGTTGCTCCTCACTTTCGGTTCGGGGTGGTGTTGTCCTTTTTCTCTTGGTTATTCCAGGACCGTCATCTTCTGCCTAATACTGTCGCCTCCTTTCGTGCGGCGCTGGAGAGCCGCTGCAGCTTTCTTTCGGTACCGATGTTACTTCTGTGCTGTTTTGCAAGCTGTCTCGTGCGTTGTTTCACCTCCGGCCTGCTCATGTGGTGCCTGAGCCATCCTGGTCTTTGGACAGAGTGCTCTCCTATCTTTCTTCTCCTCGGTTTGTTGTGGCCCCTTCAGTTCAGGATTGCTTTGCTAAGGCTCTTTTTCTGTTGGCATTGGTCTCTGGGGGTCATGTTGCGGAGCTTCATGCTCTGCTCAGGCGCAGAGGGTTTTGCTTCTTTGGTTGTGGTCATAGGTATGTTCATTTGCAGCCGTCTCCCTCTTTTCTGGCGAAGAATGAGACTGCTGCTCAGTCTCAGTCTGGAGGGGTCCTTGGGTTGTTGATGTTTGGTTTGTCAGGCTGGGGGTTCACCATGTGTTGTTTCCGGTTGCAGCCCTCTGCCGTTACCTGTGCGCCATGGCTTCTGTGTCCGGGGACGCCCTTTGAGTTGATCCGGTTTCCCTTCTTCCCTGTTCGCGGGTTCGGGTTTCTCAGTTCGTCCACAGGGTTATTAAATCCAACCAGCCTGCAGTCTATCCCTGTGCCCATGATGTTTGTAAGTTTGCTGCTCTTGCTGCCATCTTTGGCAATATGTCTTGGGCTGACATTTAGGCACGGGGTTTTTGGCGTTTGAACAGGGACCTGGCTGCATGCTACCTTGTGAACATTCCTGGGCCCAGTCGGGCCTGTATTACTTTGGGTCGGCGGTTGCAGCCTGTTGTCTCGATTTCAAGTTGAGGAGTGGTGATCCAATCGCCTCCCAGGTAAGTCCCCTTTTCTTTTCTAGTCTTTGATGAAGTAGCTACGGAGAGCTGTAGGGGCTCCCCCCAGAAAACCAGCGTTTAACACTTTGGTGCACCCCGCTCACCACCCCTCAACTGTGCGATATGGGACCCAGGGTGTCACAGGAGTGCGCGTAAATTCTGAAAAGCGTATACTCTCTTCAACTTTGTCACCTTAATTCTCGTTCTACGAGATTAAATTTGGTATCATTGTGTTCGCAATAGAATTCTCTACAGCACTAAATGCATATAAACTCCAAAAGCCTGGCTAATTACCCGCAGCAAACAGAGAAAGTGCGAACGAGTTACCCAGGAGCGCGCAAACACGATAAAATGTTTTCACTATTTTCACTCTGGTCACCTCAATTTTTATCCTAAGTCTTTCATTTTGGTCTCAATGTGTTCGGAATAGAATTCTCTAGAGGAACATTAGCATATAAAATAAAAAACCTGGTCACGCTCCAACCGCCGACGAGTTGAAGACGGGCCACAAGTTAGCCGCAAGTGAGTGCTCAGCCGCCTTCCAGCTACACTCCCAATTCCCGCCCTTTTCAAGCCTTTCTTTCGCAATTTTCTTCCTGGAAGGGCCTTGTTCATGATCACTATCCATCGTGGAGTAAGCGTAGATAGTTTCTAAAGCCGCAGTAAGAAATATAGCCACGGAAAATAGCCGAAATATTCACACGTTAGAGATGCGAGGGGAGGCGACATTGGTCACAACAGTGGAGCGAAAACAATGGGCCCACGGCATGTGCCAAGCTGCCTGAGGGCCACGAGGCTCAACAAAGAAAATGGGAAGACATCGGCGCGCATTTTAAAACCAGTCCCAAAAAAATCGGATAAAAACCTGATTTTTGGCGATTATTTAAAGTGGATGACGCAATGCTGCGTCATCCCCGGAATTACCGCCAGTAAATGGATGACGCAATGCTGCGTCATGCCCGGGCAAAAGTGTTAATGTATCGAAACGCCTTTTTCTGGGCGAGTCCCGGAGGCTCCCTGGCAACCCTCTTTCCCTCCGGTCGGCGGTTTTTTGCAGTTTTTGATATCCAGTCTCAGAATTGGGGTGGGGATCGCTGGTGCGAGGGTCTGGGGCTCCCCCTTTCCCCTCCGGGAGAGGGGGGGGAACGGCACAGACATGTGACGCGGCTCGTGTGACGTCCTGCTTGTTTGCTCGTTTTTCTTTTGGGGAGTTCAGTCCATTCGTTTGACGATTTTCATTGTTAACCAGAATTTGTTTTGTTTTGTGGTGCTTATCTTTCTGGGTGCCTGTCCCAGTCAATGGCAAATATAGAATGCTCCAAATCACATGTGCATTTCTATGGGCCATTGCTCCCTATGCCTCTGTGAGGGGAACAGGTTCTGGCTCGTGGTCCCCGGTAGGCTAGAACTCCACCCACATCGACTGATGCAAAATAGTTAGGATATCCATATCAGCCATGGATAGCTCCAGGGAGCCTCCGGGACTCGCCCAGAAAATGGTGTTTCATTACATTCAACATTGTTTTTCTGGGGGGAGCCCCGTCGGCTCCCCGGAGCTATCCCAGGCTGATATGCTAATGTCAGACTTTGGCATCAGTCATGTGTATGGAGTTCTTAGGCCTACCAGGGACCATGGCCAGAACTGGGCCCCCTCAGAGAGGCAAGGGGAGCAATGGCCTATAGAAGCCCCCGTGTAGTTGGAAGCATTCTATGTCTGCCATCGACTGGAACAGGCACCCAGAAAGGTAAGCGCCCCAAAACAAACCCCTATTCTGGTTAAAATTGCTACCAAAAACTGAACTAGTGGATAGAACTCCCCAACCGAAAACAAGCAAACTAGTGTGACGTCACACACTGCCGCGCCGCTGTCTGCGCAGCTCCCCCCTCCCCGGGAGGGGGAAGGGGGAGCCCCAGACCCCCCGCGCCGGCTACCCACACCTCAGTTCTTGAGGCTGATGCTATAGGCGATGGTCGTGTGCTCTGGCTCCGGTGTCGCTACTGCACTGTGCTTTGCGTGTGGTGTTAGTTTTGTGGGTGCATCATGTTTTGTGTCCGGTTGCGGCGCTTCGCCGTTATTTGCGCGCCACAGCTTCTGTGTCCGGGGACGCACTGTGGGTTGATCCGGTTTCCCTTCTTCCCTGTTCGGTGGTTCGGGTCTCTCTGGTCGTCCGCAGGGTTATTAGGTCCAGCCAGCCTGCGGTCTATCCCCGTGCCCATGACGTTCGTAAGTTCGCGGCTCTTGCTGCCGTCTTTGGGAATATGTCTTGGTCTGATATTCGGGCGCGGGGATTTTAGCGGTCGAACAGGGTCCTGGCTGCTCGTTACCTTGTGAATGTCCCTGGGCCTCGTCGGGCCTGTGTTGCTTTGGGTCGGCGGTTGCAGCCAGTTGTCTCGGCTTCGAGTTGAGGGGTGAGCGACGACCGCCTCCCGGGTAAGTCCCTCTTTTTCTGTCTGTGGGTAGTTAGCTCCGGGGAGCTGACGGGGCTCCCCCCAGAAAACCAGCATTGAATGTAATGAAACGCCATTTTCTGGGTGAGTCCCGCAGGCTCCCCGGCATCCCTCCCTCCATCCGGTCGGCGGTTTTTCGCGTTTTTGACATCCAGCCTCAAGAACTGAGGTGTGGGTAGCCGGCGCGGGGGGTCTGGGGCTCCCCCTTCCCCCTCCCGGGGAGGGGGGAGCTGCGCAGACAGCGGCGCAGCAGTGTGTGACGTCACACTAGTTTGCTTGTTTTCGGTTGGGGAGTTCTATCCACTAGTTCAGTTTTTGGTAGCAATTTTAACCAGAATAGGGGTTTGTTTTGGGGCGCTTACCTTTCTGGGTGCCTGTTCCGGTCGATGGCAGACATAGAATGCTTCCAAGTACACGGGGGCTTCTATAGGCCATTGCTCCCCTTGCCTCTCTGAGGGGGCCCGGTTCTGGCCGTGGTCCCCGGTAGGCCTAAGAACTCCATACACATGACTGATGCCAAAGTCTGACATTAGCATATCAGCCTGGGGTAGCTCCGGGGAGCCTCCGGGACTCACCCAGAAAATGGCGTTTCATTACATTCAACGCTGGTTTTTTGTTTATATCCTCCTAATAGGTCCCCTAATTTATTGTACTGGCATCAAAGAGCTGTGCCTGATATGCCAGGCATGTGGGTTCCATTTAAAGCTAACTTGCTCCATCACAGATGTGGGAAGCACACAAGGATATTGTGTGCTTCCTTGGACCATTCCTTGTGTGCTTGGTAATGGATCATTATATTGATCCATTACCTGAGGAATCGTCCTTAAAACGATAGTCTCAAAAACCTTGATACTCCTTCCAAAAATGTTTGAGAATTATATATCTAAATGAACTAAACAATTTAAATATCTTCCCAAACAACCCCTCCCTCTCACAACCATCACCAGATGGCAGGTTGATGGGCATTAATGAAGTACTCCCTTCATTCGTGAGCCTGGCGCCTAGTGTACTGTAATTGTAGGCTTCTGCCGAGACCGAAAATATTTTACAGATAAGTGGCTGCCTCTCTATTTGGATAGTGTCCATGTATTTGGGTGCTCATGTTTTTAACACTTCACAAGGATGTAGGCTTCTTACATTGAGTTCCTCCTACTACCCTAGTT